TGCTGAACACAGAAGCCAGCCATGGGAGGAGGCTTATATTTGAGTGCCACAGTCATCTTCCTCCCTGTTGAGAGGCTGTTTTGCTAAGTCACCATTTGTGCCATTATTTGTCTCGGCAGAGGGCTGATCTAGTTGTCAGTGGAAGCTATTAATAGCCTTCAGTTTCTGGGAAAAAAAATGTAGGGCTCAAACACAAGTGTGCTTGTTTGTTTTGTTTGTGTGCAGTCCTCTTTGGAGGAAAATCCAGCAATAAAGGAACAAAGAGTGAAAGGGGTTTAGCTCTTCCTGCATTTTTGAGGTGAAGTTCCTTTTCTTGGCCTCTTCGTGATTTCCGAAGATGTGTTGCTTTTCTTGTCGCTGAGTTATGGTAAACACCAGTGTAAAGGAAGATATCCTCTAAATAAGCACTAGTCGAGGAAACCTATGGCACATTCTTGGCCTAAGAGCACAACGATGGTCGCAGTGTCCAAGTCACGGGCACTGTGCACCTCAGCCAACTTCGGTAGAAATGCTCAGGGCAGGAATTCAATGATGAACACACCTGCAGTGTTAACAGCTGTACCCCGGGCTCCAGACAGACCAACACAAAATGAGCCTGAGTATCTGGGGGTTTTTTTACAGCAAACACGTATGATTCAGTGACTGGTTTTAGATGGGGAAGTAGTATATTGCAGGCATATGTGGACACCAAGAACAGGTTTTAAACCACAGAATGCGCTCAAATGCAGGGAATTTGCTTATAAGGGAAAATATATTACAGCTGCAGAGCCTGATCTCTACAGTAACCTAGATTCAGCTTTCATTTCCTGGGCTCAAATGAGGCAGATAGGGGACTTCTGTTCTACTTTGGATTTCTGTGCTAACCATTACCAAGGGGGTTACTGTCTCTCTGCCTCCCTCCCCTGGGGCCTGTGCTTATCCTCTTTGCTCCCTCCCTTTGCCTGGAGCTTCCAGGCCGAGGTTTATGTTCTACCCAGGCGGAGGTTTATGTTCTACCAGCACTACTGAAGTCCCAGGGCACTTGACAAGCACAGGCAGCTTCATTTCAAGATGAGCTGCAGTGATTAGTCTTCTGCCCCTCGGGAGGCAAGAGAGGAAGAGGGATAGGACCAGCTATTTTTGCCAATGATATCTATGTCAGAAGAATTAGTTAAGGATGACAACAAAAACTTTATTTGAAAAAATTATTATGTATTGAAAATATACAGTAGTATCACCAACCCTCTCCTTGACTCCATCCCTCCCCAAGCATAGGTTAACCCACAGCATATCACAGCAACCAGATTTAACGATACCGGTCTCCTTTGTTACTCCCTCTCAGTATGTCTAAATTCTGACATCAGCAAGAAAACAACAAACAAAAGACCCACTTCTTTCTGACTCAGTAGGTATTTAACAAATCCCAGTCCTCCACAGTGAGACACAGATGCTTCTGTTTGGAAGTCCTTTCTCTCTCTCGTTCAGCCAAAGCTCTTTTTTTATTGTTCTTTAATTCGTGGCTGCCTGCAACCTCCTTTTTCAAAGGTAAATGGCTATTTTGAACTTTTTCCTTATAAAACTGCAAGTTTCCAGATGCTTTCGTTTCTGCCTCCACCAACTTGCATTTGACTACTTCCTCTATTCTGTGTGTCTTGCCATCTACAGGAAAAAAAAAATCAAGTTTAGATTTTTGGAAAAACAGAATTATGCTGTAAAATGCATACTTGTGTTGCAAATTGTTTTGGCCAAGCCAGCCTGGGATATTGACTGCTTTGCTGAAATGTGCATAGGGAAAAATAACTCTTTAATATTAGACTCGGAATTTTAAGGAGAAAACTCAGTTGTTACACATGTTGCCATGCTATACTTTAAGAGTTATCCCACAGTCTAAACAGATGAAAAAACTCAAACAAGTTGTAATGCAGTCACACAAACGGCTGAAACTGCACACCTGAGATGCTATTTGTACTATTAACAAAAAAAAGGTACGAAAATATTCCTTGTAGGAAAGGAAACAAATTATGTGGTCTCTGTGCAGTTACATACAGAAGTGC